CCTCTGTACCAATTCACCAGAAATGTCCTGGCTTCTGATATTCTGATGCTGGGACCCGAGTCGGGGTGGGGTCAGATAAACATCAGACCTCCCTGATCCCACCCTCTCCTCTCAGCCCCCCGCCCCTCCGCAGAGTTGGCTTCCTTAAGAAGATCAGAGGGGGTGGTCTGGGGCCGGAAAAAACAAGTTGAAAGTGCTGCAGTGCCAGCAGCAGCCCATCCACTGCTCAGCTGAGAGAGGGTGGAACCCCTCTCCTAGGCAAGCTTTACTGGTAGTTCTAACGCCATCCCTGCCGTGCACTCTCAGGCCACCTTGGACGAGGCTCGTACAGGGGCCTGGGTCTCCCCATCTGTATACAGAAGTCTGTTTTGCACTGACTACAGGGTCCCAATGTTCTCTAACTTCTCCCCACCTTAGGGTGGCTCTTAAACTCCCAGGTCCCAGGCAGGCACCTGCATGACAGAGCTGGTGCACTTGGGCCATACTGGGTATTCCTGCTCACAAGAGCAAAGTAAGAAACTGGTGCCACTGGCGTCCACTTCCACCCTGCGGCATGCAGCAGAGGGATGGAGAGAGCAAAGGTTTTGAAAGCTGGAGTGAGAGAGGGAGGCCGCTGCTCTCCCATCAGAGTTCCTCCCTTCCACTTCACACAAAACCCCCATCAACAGAGGAGGAGACGGAGGCCCAGAGAAGGGGATCCAGGTAGCATCTGGTTTATACAGGGCTCTCCTCTAGATCACCTCCAAGTCCTCCTTAAAGTCTGTCCCAAATTCCTCCTGCCTTTTATTTGTTTGTAGTTCCGGATTTTACTAAGCTGTGGTTCGGCAGGCTCTGGACCACCATGTCAGATATACTGCCCCAGCTCTCCAGCACGGAGCCCCCACCCATGCCAGGTCCCTTTCTCTCTGGGCTGCACCATTCCCACCTAAGGGCAGCCTCCGGGGATGTAAGTCCCTACTCCCAGACTCCTGAGAATTGGGGGAGGGGAGGGAGCAGACTGGAACTCCATCCGCAAAGGCCCAGGGATCAACCACCTCACAAACAGACCTAAACACAGGCTGAGACTGGCCCAAGGTCACACACGAGGTCCCGGAGAGGTAAATCTGGGACTAGAACCCGGTTATTCCATGGAACGCCACCCCATCTCCAAGGCTAATTCGCCGAGATGCCCATAGAGGACGAGGCAACCCTTCTCTAGCCCCAGTGGCCAGCGCCCTACCCCAGGCCCCAGGCGCCATAGAGCAGGGGGAGGCGTCTTCAGGCCTCTAGCCAGGGCCAGCTGCAAACCGCATCCTGGGTCCCCAGGCGCCACAGACCCGCTCCGCCCCTCCCTCTGCTCCCCGCAGCCTGGAGCCTTTGTCAGCCACGCGCTCACACGCTCACACACACACCCGCGCTGCCTGCGCGCACACACTTGGTCCCCCGGTAGCGCACACCAGCAAGGGGCGCGCGCACTCGCCGTACGGACGCAGGGGAGTGGAGGCGGCGGAGGAAGGAACTGACGGGCTACCGACCTACAGAAGCCTGGACGGGGGAAGGGGAGGAGAGGCCAGAAAATCTGAGGTGGGGGCGGAACGGGGCGCGGAGGCGAAAGGCAGAGAGACGCAAAGGAGACTCTTGGAAAAGAGGACAACGGATGGGACTTCAAGGGCTGGCGAGGACGCGCGGGCTATTCCAGGGGTGGGACTCCCCCAACCCCTAGCCCCGGGTGGGGGGCGGTTTCTGGATTGGATCAGGGGGGCCTGAGCGGAAGGCCCTTAGGGATACCGCGTAAGGCTTGGATAAAGGGGATCTGGGACCACAGGCTCCCCGGGGTACCTCGAGGCGGGGAGTTCTGGTTCTCGGGCTGGATGGGGCACTAGCTCACCTACTACGGTGTACCTGTCCAGGTAGTTGAGCACGTTGCCCAAGCTGAGGATGGCGGCGGCTGCCCCTCGCCTGCGGCCCAGGCTGGCGGGTTTGGGCTGCTGCGCGCC